ATTAATTTTTGGTTTTTATTGTTTTAAAACGAAAAAAATTATATCGTATATAGTTAAAGGATATCGTATATAGTTACCTTAACATATGTTGAAAGTCCCTATCTCACATCGTCGCTGAAATACAAAAAGTCGTAACTAACTAAAAATCTAAAATTCACGTTTTGATTGATTATTATGCATTCCATCGGATCTGATCTCAACAACTACTCCATATTAGAGGCCGGCATTCTCACTTCTTCTACACTGCTCAATTACCAAAGGGAATAAATCAGAAATTTTCCGATATGAAACGTTTGATGCAGTTCGGTTCGGAAAAGTTCTGACTTATTTCCCTTGATAGTTAACTTATTCATATGTCTTCGTAGTCCACCGTAACCTAGCGGAATTAAAAAAAAAAGTTAGCTGGGGAAACACTAGTACATTTCCTCCAGGCACTCGTCGAGCCGCTCTCATCGCCCTTATACATCGCAGCGCGAAGATGATTGATTGCAGCAATAACGTTCGTTTACGGGAGTGAGCTTTTAGACAAGGAGTCGAACTAGAAAGCATACACTTTATTTTCACGCCGCCTCACAGCAGCTGTAAAATGATATTTCTAGCGGCCTTGCGCTACTAAGGTTCCGTTCCGTTCATAGTCATAAATCGTAATACATCGTAAACGCGATTCCTCTGGTCCCATAACTGAACATTGATTTTACGTGGCGGGTATTAACTCCACCATATAATCTATTAAAAATTTACTTATTTAAAGAATTATATTTCTGCATTGCGTATTTGTTTTATAAATTTAGTAAATCTCTGTCATTTACATACTCTCTGTATGTGCCCATATTTGTTCTACACCCAAATTGTAATACAAATCATCTTTATTTTTCTATTAAATATGCCATACTTAGTAACTCAAATGTCAAAAGCAGGTACATCTATTAAATATGCCATACTTAGTAACTCAAATGTCAAAAGCAGGTACACAACTGTCAAACGAGCCAACAAATTGTAATTTGTATGCCATAAATTAGAAAACATACTTGACTGGACCTTTCACCTAGTACATACATATGCATTTATATACATACACTGTCTACTGCACACGCACGCACCCATTAATGCTACCAAAATACACAAACCACTAAATGGACAAGCCGACTTAGCCTAAACCGCTTGTCATTTCATTTGTCATGCCCCAATGCTCAGAGCTGGGAAGTTGCCTATATATACATACATACATATGTATCTACATACAGATGTATAGTGAACCAAGCCCCACCCATCAAAGCCGCTACTCCAACACAGAGCCTATTTTGGTTACTCAGAAAGTACCTTAAATGCCAAACCGATGACTTTGAATGCATTAAAGCCAATGGATTGTTGAGCTTACAAAAAAAAAAGAAAAAGAGCAGCAAATTGTAACTAAAAATGCGCTATGGTCCATTGGATACATTCTTTGTAGGCAACATCCACTAAGGATATATAGGTACTCGTGTGTTTGTTTTTCCCTCCTGTCCATTACATTTTAGTTGATTGAATTAAATTACATTTATGCAATTGTGCCTCCTCAGTAAAGCAACAGCAAAAACAGCAGCCCAACAACCGAGCAGCCGGCAAAGTACTTTCAGTCCCAAACTTGTTGAAAAATGAAGCAATTGTCAAGAATTGGATAGAGAGAAGGGTAGACGCACAGAGGTACAGACAGATGGAAAGATGGACGGATGGATGGATGACTGTATAGATAGACAGTGAGGCGGTAAAATTGTGCACGCCTATATGTATATAAGTATACGCATACGGCACACTCGTTCCACATTGCTACAAAGCTTTCAAATGTCAAACCATACAAGGTACTTGTACTGAGCTATTGCACGCATGCGTTCCTTCACCAAGTGATCACTCATGTTTGGGTTGGCCATTTCAGGGCGCTATGAAGGCAAGGAGTTTGTATGTGTCATGCGTGTGTATGTGAAGTTAGCACCACGTACGCACCATAAAGAAACAGGAAGCTGTTGCATAGCGCAAGCTTCTCCCCTTCACACACATGCCGCACTCCCAATCATCGTACTTGCATATGCTCGTATGTATGCTCAATTTGAGCCCTGCATCGCGGGCTTGAATAGCTTTTGGAATGCTGATGAAATGCGCATGAATTAAATATGATGTATTGCTTGGACTAGGTTGTTCGTTTGTTCGTAAATACTCGCAATGATAATAGTGAGCAAGAAAAAAACCTTACAAGTTTTGATGAAAAGGTAGATATATGGCAGTGTATGGTGTTCAGGGGCAAGTGTGTGTGTTGGAGTCGATGGACAATTGTGGCTATGTCTTGTTTAGCTATGTTGATATATAGGCCTTATTCCAATATTTTTAATGCGAAGAAGTTAATACGCTTCAAAAACAGTCAAATATGTAGTTACATACAAACTCAAATGTATGTATGTATATTATATAGTTTGGTAAATAAATATATATGTAAATAAATAGAGGCAATCAAGCTTATTTGCAGTTTGATAAGTAAAAAAATTTCTACCAAGAGAAATTGGCTGTGGTGCTTGGGTATACCAACGAAGGCAATGAAGTAATGATGAATGTGAAATTTCGGCATTTTTACGAAAAATAGCCATACATCAAGATACAAATTGAGGCATTTATTCAACAGTAAACATTCTTACTTTAGCATTTTTTTCCTCCTGTTAAATTATGGGTAATTGCATGTAAAACAGGAAAATGATATAATTTTTAAAATACCTTAATTATTCCTATTAGTGTTGAAATTCAACCTTTTGAATTAAAGGGAATTGAGGTGGGCTGAGCTGAGCCGAGGTGAGTTGATTGAGGTGAATTGAGGTCAAATGCCTTGAACAACATAACATAATATAATATAACATAACACAACACAACAAAAAAACCACACAACACAATACAACACAACATAATACAACACAACACAACACAACACAAAACAACACATTACAACATATCACAACACAACACGATACAAAACAACACAAAGCAATACATAACAACGCAACGCAACACAATACAATACAACACAACACAACACGAATCAATACAAAATGAAATTCTTAGTATAAAATTTGTTGACTTTAGTGGCTAGTTGGTGGCATATAATATGTTAAAAAGGGAAATTGCGCTTTAATTATTTTTAGTGGATAAATTACCATTACAAAAATACCAAACACGTTCACAATACAGACAACGACTTTTTTGATTTCTGCCCACTTAGGTGGCACTGTGGGTAGGAACAAATTGTGTAAGAAACACTCTTCGTCATAGCCGATTCGGGAAACTCGCTAGCAGTGTGACCTATTTATACACTGAAAATAAGTCGATGTAATGCTAAATTTTGCAATTAAGAAGTGCTTGGTTTACCAAACAACCCAATAGCTAGTACGCACTTCATCATAACAGTATTTTTTCTTATTCACATTATCTAAAAATTCAACTTAGAAAAATATCACCAAGCTAGTGTCAAACATTTCTTAGTTTACATACATATGTATAGTACTATTTAAGCATTAATTTTTTTCTCGCTTCGCACGTGCGCTTGCTTGCTTTCAACTCTATACAAATTTGCATAATTGATTCGCATTTTGAATGGGTTTATGAGGTTGTTGCTGCCGCTGTTATTATCGCCTCGAATGAATATATACTTTATGGCTGACTAATTAAAAATTTTCGAATAAAAGGAAATAAAAAACATAAAGTTAAAAGCCTTTTCTGTTAAACAAACAAGCAGCAAGCGTATAAGATATATATACATATGTATATATACAGGGGCGCACCCAGGAATATATTTTAGGGGGGGGGGGGGCATAAAATATTTCTGAAGATATATCACCGGAAAATACTGAAAATTTTCTTCAGATAATACGCTCTTTAAAATATATTTATGCAAGTTTTATGTACAGTATGTAATAAATAAATAAGCGTTTTAAAATTCATAAACTGCACTTTACTTACATAAGATTAACAGAACTCAAACACTTTTAACCGACTTTAAAAAAAGGGGAGGTTATCAATTCGCCGGAATACGTAACTTTGGACCACGTGAACCGATTTCAATAATAATTTTTTTGTAGAAAGATGGTACCTCAAGGTTCGGCCCGTTTAGAGATCCGATGATTGGATCATGAAAAAATTAACGGTACCCCTAAATTTGAATATAAGAATTGAAGTCGGCGGTGTTCTTTCCTTAAAAACTACTTTTTTTAATAAAAAGTTCTATAAACTCAAGATGCGCTCAACTTTCAAAAGTACCTAATAAAAAATATTAAAAAAGACTCAGTAAAAATAAATTTATTGATTCCATGAATTTTTGCTCTTTTATGTTCCTTTTTTCGATTTCTGGTTTTTGGCTTTCGATAAAAATGGTGATTTTTCACGATTTCTAAATTTTTTTAATATTTCGAATACCGAAAAAATTAACTGAACTCTCAAGAAAAATTCATATAAAACGACGGACGAGAAATGGAAAAGAAATTGTCTACCAAAATTTCTAAAATCAGTTTGCAGCTCTCAAGAAAAAATGCTCGTATATTCATTTCCTCATGAAATTGACAGCAAAAGCAAAGCGCATTTTCAAGCAACAGAAATTATAATAAATATTTCTTATAATTTCCTTGAGAGCTGGATTCTTAGCTTTAAGATACAGTTTGTATTTGAGGTTATTAGCTTTAGGGGGGGTTTGAACCCCAAAACCCACCCCTTGTGTGCGCTAATGTATATATATATATATATTATAAGCTATTCTATGAATTTCCCATTTTATTTTTCATTGAATGCTTGGTCAGTAAGCTCATGCCCAGTTATTCAAACCCGCACAGCTCATTTATTTTATTAGAAAATTTGCTCGAAATTCAATAGGGCTATAAAAATTAATTTCTCTTAACCCATTAACTGCAATTCACGCTCCATTCCGTTACCGCCACCCATTGAACTATCCAATTCAATGGTCATTTACTTGTAAAAGCCCAACGGTCTTTTAACTTTCAAAATTGTCATTCGACAACTGTCGAATAGGCATACAATTTTAATTTCAAAAATTGCTTCTTAATCACCCATTCAGCATTTGCATACACATACAAATATGTATGTATGTAAATATGTATATGAACATGGGCTCCAATATTCACTGTCATCTAAGGCCTATTCCACTCAACAACTTATTGCTGCCTGGCCTTCGTCAAGCAAAGCACTCAAGCAGTCAGTCTAATAGACAGATAGACTAACAGACATTCAGACGGTCATGCAATTACCCAAGCAGCAATGGTAAAAATGGAAAATTCCATAATTTTCTATGACTCTTTTGCATCGTTGGGCATGGACCTACAGTGCACACCCGCTCATCACCCGTCCCACATAACGAGCCATTAAAGTCGCAATGCTTGTTACTTGGCTTTTTGTGGTGTTTTTCAAGTGTTCTTTATATTTTTTACTATCCGCTTTTCAATTTCATATTTGTGTCTGCCCTTTTAATTGAATTTCCATTATCCGCGTTTCGTTGCTTTGCTTGATTGGCAGCCAACGCTTTTTAACTGCATTTCACCAAATTTAATCGTGTGTCTGACACTTCGTTGTTGGGAGGCGCACCTTAACATTTTATTAAATTTTTAATTTTTAAGGTAATTTGAAGTGTGACTTTCCTATGCGATTATGTTTACGCGTAAAGGCGATAGTTTTTGGCACGCGCCCATTAAGGCTGTAGGCAATGGTGCGTTTGCAGGTAAAGCTTTTTGAATTGAAACTTCTTTGTGCTCGGTTGGGTATAAATCCAAAGTCCGCTTAAGACTAAAACTAAGACTAAGATTAAGATTAAATATGTGATTAAGATGAATATAAAGATAAAGATTGGGATTAAGATTAAGATCGGTATAAAGAGAAAATTCAGATTAATATTAAAATTAAGGTTAAGATCAAGATTAATATAAGGTTAAGATTTAGATGTAGACAAAGATCAAGATTTAAATATATATTAAGATTTGGATTTAAATTAAGAATAAGATTCAGATTTAGATTTAAATTGAGAATACGATTAAGATTAAGAATAATGTTAAGGTTAAAATTAAGAATTAAATTGAAAACAAGATTAAGATTAAGATTGAGATAAGGGTTAAAATTAAGATGAATATGAAGACTAAAGCTAAGCTAAATTTTCACGATTTTGCCGAAAAGTTCTCATATAATATGGTCAGCTATATATAAATGTGATGACCATTCGTACTTTGACTTTATTTATTTTTCTAAAAAGTCTATATTGTTCTTTATTCCAAAACTGGTCCTTTGAAAGTACTTTTTTTGATTCGATGTCAGACATTAATGCATTTCAATTTATATTACAGCCTAGTTGTAACAAATTGTGAAGAAAGAGCAGAGAATACAAACAAGTTGGCAAGATCAAACTTGGCATTCTTATCAAAGTAGAAAAACAAATTAAAATGAAGATTGTGCGAAGCTTATTGTGTTCTACGGGTTATATAAGTACGCCGCGGTAGGGACTCACCATAGTATACGACTGCCACACTCTGTAGGAAATGTAAAGAGTCACAATTCAGACAGAAGGCTCCATTGTGATATATTAGAGTAACCTGATGTATAACACATCTACTTTCTTATGCAAAGGATCCATATATTTTCTGGCACGCAGCGAAGAAGGCTGTGAAAAGTCAAGGACTCCTTAGTCCGCTGGGAATTCGTTTACGTTGTCGTATTTAGGACGAGGCAGGAAGTGGCCGAGAATGGGCCAATGGAGAGGCGATCAATGGAAACGGATCTGAGCCATAATTCGTTTGAAAATAGTTTGCTTCACGGCTACAGATTAGTTCCCTTCCGGGCCAATGCTGTTTCAAGGTATATTTTTATGCCCTGGAACCCATACTAGATTCTTAAGGCATCGCGTGGCCCAATTTCTTAGAAGCATTCTTCCTTGAATTACTACCTTCTAAAAGGTTTTGTTGGACTGGAGATGGAGTGTTCTATTACAGGAAAAACTGCCTTATTTTTATATCTTAGCTCTATTTAGAAGACACTGCAGTAATCTGGTAGACGCACTTTTGTGCATAGAAGTAGTTATTCCGAATGGATGTTGCTGCCGAATTTGTTTTTATAGCTCAGAACCATCGCTGAAGGTTTAAATGGGACTATATATACTATTATAACTCTTCACCATTCGCTCCTAACCGGGATTCTTGTCGAAAACTTGTTATCAAAGTAGTCACGTAAAATGTTTGTTTGCCTAGCGTCATTTTCGCTAGAGTGGTGTTTATAGCAAGAATAACCGGTTGGAGGGAAAGGCCGTCATGAAAGCCACCCTTTCCATTCTGGTTTTAGACGAGTTTTTTGCCAGACAATACTGCGACTCAGACGAAAAGATTGGCCTTGCGTCAGCTGTGACTGCTAATGCACCATATTTCTATCCCTTTCTTGTTCCGGTAAAGCTAGCAGAATATGAATATACACATATGTACTGAAATCTAGTACTATATTTTTATTTCTGAAATATGGCCACCGTAGCTAGACGGTTAATAGGAAAAAGTTTCACCTTATCAAGAGATATTGACTAGAGAAAAAAAATATATTTCACTTCCTCTTTTGAAAATCGAAAACTCGATCGCTTTTTTGCTGTAACCGTGCTGTAGTTTCCCTCGTATAACATGTCGCACTTCTTTGGACGCCAATTCTTTATTAAATATTACTCGTGTGTGCCATAAATTAATAGCTGAAACTATTTTAGCACCTTAACAATTAAGATTGCTTTATTTACAGCCTTATGACCGTCTATAAATAAGTTATGTTCATTATGATGTGTTAATAAAAAACAGATATGAATTCAATCGACCACTAAAAATGATTAATTCAACCGCAGGCATACGCCAAAGTACAACCAATACTCATAAAATCTGGCATCAATCAAAATAAAAGATAATAAATATTTATGAGCTGATTTAATTTTTATTTTTTTTTTTTTTAATACACAATGCATTAATTATAGATTTCGGTGGAATAGCTTTGTGGCAGCAAATTTTATTGGCGCTTGAAAATTAGCACATTTTATTACTATTTATTAGCAGTTAAAGAAAACGAAAAATATTGCGGTGATTTTTGCGTTTGGATATACTCTTATTTGGTATTAATATGTACGAGTATGTATATGTATATTTTTATATCCATCTCCATAAAAAGGCAATTAACGCTATCTCAGTGGTACAACAAAAGATTTAAAATGTTTTGATTAAGGCGCCAAGTTAATAACACCTTTCAAATCTCATTGTGTTGTTATATCTTTTGACCTTTGATTTGCTTATCGATATTTGTATAACTCTTTTACACGTTTGTGCAATGTACCTACGACTATATACATACATACAGACATATTCACAAATGTACAGCCGTAATTTTCGTCTTTCTTGGTATTTTTATTGGAATCTATTTTTTTGTATATATTTTCATTGCTGAGTCAACTGGTTCTGCCAGCTGGTGCTTGGTCGATGTCGTCAGATTTTGGCAGCATTAGCGGCCACGTGCCGCTATTATTAATAGTGCGGTAAATGCCAATTCAAGTGTTATGTGGAATTCTTTATGGAATTTTTTAAAAGAATCTGGCATACAGAAATCAGATAAAATACGAATTTTTAATACATTTCGTCCATCATCTTTTGAACCGACTTTCAATCAGCTTAGGTGCCTAGCAGATGAGCCGCAAAGATAGGTACCAATGCAGACATTGATATACGTTTTCATTTTAAAGAGAAATCGTTAACGTTAAATAACGTGTCACTGTTGGGGTATAAGGCATAAGTTGTGTTTTCGTATTATCCAGCAAAAAGCAACCAAACTACGGAGAGTAAACCAATTAGTCTGTTCCTTTGAACTTCGGACTAAAACCTGTGGACAGTGAGCCACTTTGGTAATTCTTACCAAAATTGGTAGAAAAAAGATTTGGATTGGTAAAAAGGTAAATTTTTGTTCATTTTGGTAAAATTTGTTAGATAAAACTGCATACCGAAAAATTCAGATTAAAAAGCTCAAAATTTAGACGAAAATTTGTGTAATCTTTCTAAATGTTTTATATAGCTTGAATCCTTGATTTTTATGGGTTTGGTTTAAGTAATCGCAAACAATATTCTTATACAAACAAAAATAGCAAAAAAAAATACTTGAACAACATTGTGAATATAAAAAAAATCCAAAAACAAGAAAGGGTTTTTTGATCACTGTATTTGTCTATAGCAAAATAAAAAAAAATAATTGAACAACATTGTGAATATGAGAAAAATTACCAAGGGGTTTTTTGAGTCGCTGTATTTGTCTATAATAAATCCAGTTAAGTTTTTTTTTTCAAATTATGAAGTTTCGTTGCCTGTGTTTCATCAGCTTAGATTTTGGTTGACATACCATATCAATAGTTAAATAAAAAGTTCCTAAATAAAAACTTTTAATTTCTATGGAAATATAACAAAACTAATAGTTTTTAATAAAAAAGCTAAAAAAAGTTATTGGTAGATTTTTTCAGATTTGGTAAATTTTTTTCAAATGGCTGGTAAATATTTTTTTTTAGTCAGTGGCAACCCTGCCTGTGGAACTGTCAAACTACAATTTTACTCTCTCAAGTGAGAGTAAAAGGAGAACAGATGCAGAAGTGCACGTGAACGCAAAAAGCACTATTTCCTGTAAAAATGTCACTCGGTTTGTTCACAGCTTTCCTTGCTTTCATGATCAAAGTGGAGCCTGTGGAAAGAGCTCTTTGTAATTTTCAATTGAATTTGTGATCATCAGAGGGAGCTTTCGCTATGTGTGCGTCATAACACATGTGACCAACCGTACTTCTTTCGGAAGTACAGTTCTTATTTTTTCGCTCTTGTACTTCGTACTTCGAAGTACAGTCAAAAGCACTTCTTTGAGATATTTTTTACTTTAAAAGAGGGATTCTGTAACCACTTTTTGCCGCATGATATAAATGTTTTTCGCGTTAAAAAGGGCGATAGCGATTCGAAAATTGTCGCTAACTGGTTACAGAATCTCCCCCCAGGTCCTGTACTTATCATACCTGCGCAGCTGCAAAGGGCTCTGAAGGTGTCGTGCAATTGGTTGGATCCTATTTATGCGAACTGTGTGAGGATCGTTCATCCCGAAGGCCGGAAAAGGCTCTCATGTTTACCCTAGGCATTTTAGGCTTATCAGTCTCTTCGTTTTTGCTAGAAACGCTTTTGCTAAGAACACTAGAGAGACTGATAGACCTGTACATAAGAAACGCGACTTGCAAGGAAAGGTCGGTGAATACCGCCCTGCACACATTGGTAAAGTGGCCAGAGGAAGCCCTCACGCATGAAGATTAGGCATTAGGTGCCTTCTTCGATATCGAGGGTGCCTTCAACAATGTCACTCCGTAGGCAATAATCAAGTATATTCATAATCAGGGGGTTGAAACCAACCTAATAAGGCTTATCTACAGCTTACTTCGTGACAGAACTGTCGCGGCGGAGTGGGTGAGCGTCTGCACTTAGTGCAGAGTCAATAGGAGCACTCCATAAGGTGGTGTGCCCTTGCCCCTGCTCTGGATTGCGGTTGTAAACGACCTTCTAGAGGAACTGGAAAAGGTGGGCTGTCGGGTGATCGCCAATGTAGATGATGTGGAACTTTTGGTTAAGGGACGATTTCTATACACCCTTTTTGATATGGCTTAAGGTTACCTGAACCAGGTAACTAGGTGGGCTGGACTCGTGGCAGCCCAACATTGAGGAAAAGGTAGGAAAGGCGTCGGTTGCCTTGTAATGCTGTACAGAAGCTATCGGTAAAAGGTGTGGTCTCTTGCCCAAAATAATTCATTAGCTCTAGAAAACCAGATTTTAGCCTATATTGTTTCAAGGAGCCCTTGTCTGGTGGAACTCACTAGAGAAGGCTACACTTGTAAAACAGGAATTAGCAGAGCATTACGAACCGCACCTAGACTGGCGCTTAACATACATATGTTGAACACGGCTCCAGCGGCTAAGGGAAACCGAGTTCTTTTTTGACATAAAGACATTTCTCTGCTTCAGCAAATGTTTTTATAGAGCACTTTAAAAGACCTTCACTCTCAACGGCTAATGATGGGGGTTCTAACAGGCCATTGTGCGATTGGTATTCATGCGGTGAGACTAGGAATTTCAACTGATCCTTTTATATCAGCTGACAAGAGGAAGATGAAGTGGAATCATCTCCACACTTTCTTTTAGACTGTCATACCTTCGCGAGACTAAGATGGAAGCAGTTTGGCTCGCACTTCTGAACAAACACTGAGCTCTCAGGGATCGAAATTAACCGCATTCAAAATTTCGTAATCGGCTCGCGGCGTTAACTTAACCCAACCTAAATTGTACTTCTTTGAGCTATGAAATAGTTGGTCACATCAGTCATAGCTGAAAATAGAGAAGCTTTCTCAAGCTCTTTATAGGATTCATATGGACGCGCAAACAGTAAAAGCTTTCTCTAATTATTTTAAAGCTTTCTGTAGATTTTATGTGGGATCGCATAGAGTAAAAGCTCTCTCTGAGCATCACTGAATTATTGGTATAGACGCGCATGTGTGAAAAGCTTCCGCTAGGCGGCACTGGATTAGATACTCACGAGCAACGGCGCACTACATTTCTTTTAAACCAGAAATGAGTTTTTTTTGGGGTTCGGAGAGCACAAGAAATCAACTAATACGAAGAGGAGTGTCGCCGAAGGTAAAGATGCTAGTTACCTGTATTTGAAGAAGGGGTGCACGTACTGTGCTAAAGGATTGCATACTTAAATTCTGCAAAAAAAGATATAAAGACGGTACGTGCGGCTAGTAAAGTGCAATGCAGAGCATAAGTGGATGAAAGCATGCCTGCCGATTTAAATTTAGGTAAGCATGCTCTACCGCATGAGATTGTATCGAGCAAAGTGTGTGAAAGCTTAACGCTCGGAGCCGACAAACGTCGCTATAGACCAGGACTTCACCACACCACGAATTTTGGAAAATATCGCCGGGGTGAGGACCTATAAAGCCACTATTGTGCTGTAAAAGAAGAGTGTGTAGCTGCCTAAAGCGGCTATTTTGGAATTTAGAAGCATAACCGTGAAAAACTACTCCAAGAAATCGCTCCAGCTCCATTAAAATTGGCCCGGACTTATGCCAGTCTTTCGATACCAAGCGAGATTTCAAATAGGGTGACTTTCTATGACGTGACCTAAACCCAGGGATCTTTTTGCCCCACAAATAGACAAAAACGTTTCATACCTGAAAATACTTGATACCGCAGAAAGATGAAGACCATCTCTGCAGTGGCAAGACCAGGTTAAGTATGCCTTTGTAGATGATAACAAACTAGAGGGAAGAGACTTGCACGTTCTTCGAGCTTTTTTTTTATAGTACTAGTCACGGCCGAGGTTAAAGATTAAAGATTAGTCTTTTCAAATCCAATGTGCTCTCAATACTGTTGTATGGCAGTTCAGCCTGGAAACTCGCTACCAGGCGATTGCAAATTTTTCATAAACAGATGTCTTAGAATACGCCGAATGTGTTGTCCTAAAACAATCTCAAATGAGGAGTTTGCTCAACAAGGCTAACGTGGAGCCTATTTACATCGGCACTCGAAAGACAGAAATGAAAGTGGATAGACCACACTTTTCGCAAAAAAGATGACATTATCGCGAAAAGACCCTACGGCAGGAGCCGACCGCGCAAAACGTGGGAAGCACAGTCGATCGAGAGGCGAAGCAACTCGGGGTAAGCTGGAAGCTGTTCAAACCGATTGCCAGTAACAGAACCAGAACCATGGCGCACAGGCGTGCTATGTGCTAACATACTTTTCGCTCACACTCCAAATTTGTATGTACTATTTTTTATTTAACTTTTGACCTTAAAATACTCGTAAAAACAAATTAAATCTATTCAACTAAAATTCAATTTTCCTGCATGGAATTTCATTATAATTTGCGCTGTCATAGTAAACCAAAGGGTTAAATGCTTCAACATTATACATGCAATTGTTTAAATTGTGGTTATACCAATGCAAATTAAATATAATTTCGCTAATTAATGGAAATAAGTTAAGCTACAACCCTCATAAATAAATATCAGGTGAAAAACCGCGACATCATTGAAACCGCAGCGCGTTTTCTTTTTGTTAGCGTCAAATGTCAAAAAAAAACACCGTCAGCTGCCGCAACATTGATATCATTCACAGCGTATTTGATAAAAAAATACTATTATTTCATTTTTACAATGCTATAGCTGAAATACAACGCCAACAACAACCTTACGCGCGAGCACATGTACTTTTAATGCAAAGCTAAAAAATAAAGTTGAAAAACAAAAACAACAAGAACGTTTAACCGCTAATTAATATTGTTATTATCAATGTGCAATTTGTAGTCAATAGTGGTTGTTGTTGCAGTCGGCAAAGTTGTTTTATATGTTTGTCGGCATGATGTTGTTGTGCGCCGCCAACTCATTTTCACTTGGCGTAAATATATATATAGCGTATAATGGTTATTGCATTAATTTGTAAATTAAATTGGCGGTCGGCATTAACACAAACGCTATATTGTAAGCGTAGTATAAATGTATGTGACGTGCCGAAAAAGAGGCCGGCAAAACTACAAACAACAATAACAATACTGTGCACAGAAAGTGTAGATATATAAATGAACAACAAATAACTACACTGCCGGAACAAAGTATTGGCACAGCAAATTTTTCTCAATATATATTTTAATTTTGTTATGTACTTCCTCTATGTACAATGTGAAGGTCTAATTAAAGATATAAAAAAATACATACAGTGGTCAAAAAATTATAACCGATCCACTTTTTACCAAGTTTTAACGTATTATATTTGTTGTTATTGAACTTTTGTTGTTTTTTTTTTTTTAAATATAGTTCATTCTTTAACAAAACCCGTGGAAATCCATGTTTCCAAATTTGAGTAGTCCACTTGCAAAGGCGCTATGTAAATTTTTTTAGATTTTTGATTTTTGGTGAATAACGTACCAGTATTTAAAGTAGTGTCATGTCCACTAACAATACAGCGAAAAATCTTTCTATTTTCTGAAAAAAATAGCATCAAATGTTAACTACTATTGCAAAAATCGCTATAATACTTATGTATGTATTTATACATTTTCAAAAGTCTCCATTTTCTGATGAACTTAGAAAACTGAAAGAAAACGTGGTAGTTTCGGTGCCTAGTGGAAGGCGTCGTAAAAAAGAAGCAGACCAATCTTCATGGAAGAGCGAACGCGAAAAGCAAAAAAAAGAAAGCTATGTAAAAGTTACTGTTTCAAAACTCGCTATATTCAATTTTTATATATAAAATTTTCAAAAACTACCAAATTGCCATATTGTTTTTTAATGTTATTAGGCTCTTGTTTATCCAAATTTTCAGATAATAAAGATAAATATACAATTTGGATGCTACTTGTTGTTGTAGACGTTTTTTTTAAATTATGGCTCACTATTATAAAATCACATAACGCTGTTTGCAAGTAGACTACTCATTTGTGCAATAATAAAAAAAATTCAACAAACTTTCGTACAAATTTCGAACTTTTAAAAATTCTAAAAAATCAATCGACATTTTTAGCCATTTGAAACTTTACTTTATTCTACTTGTACTTTGTTCTACTAGAATTCTATGGGCTACAAAACTGCATACTCAGAATTTAATTAAAAAGCTCGAAATTTTAACGAAAATTTGTAGAATTTTTTTTAAATTGCATAAATTGTTAAGACAGTGTCACTCGATTGGTAAATTTGTACAGATTTGTAAATTTTTATATTGGGCTATTGGTAAAAAAGTGGGACAATATTTTTTTGCATTCAAAAGATTGGTACAATACAGCGATGTTCTATTGAAAAATTTCAATAAATCAATTTTCGTGATTGGGATAGTGAAAAATATATTGGGTGTTCAAACAATTGGGATACGATTTACACCAAATTTTAGCAAATACCCAATCGTGTGACACTGCCTTTAAACTTGTATTTATACGGATGTTGGTAAAGAACGAACTATAAAAAACTAACCGAAATTAAATAACAACAAAAATAATATTCAAAAAACTTGTCAAAATTTGGTGCGGCTATAATTTTTTCGACTACTGTACTATGTACTGTTGGCTATGATTACTCGACCGTGCAGGAATTTCAAGATTTCAACCCTGTTTTTATGAAAAATTTTATTTTTATCAGTATTTTTCTTTTAATCAAAATATGTTGAAATAAAAGAGAAACTAAAAAAAAAATTATGCCAGAAAAATAATGCACGTTCGGAGTTAGCCAAAAATCGCGTTGATTTTGGAGATTTTTTTTTGTTGAAGGTGTTGTGCATTTTTTCCATGTAAAGTATTTTCGAAAAAAAAAAATTTTATGGAAGAGACTGCGTGAAAAAAAATTCCCAAAAATCAACAGTAATTCCTAGCTACTTAAAACTTTCATTTTATTATAATAAAAATCTGCATACACAAAAAAATTCTAAAAAATCTGATTAAAAAGTTGAAAATTTTCATGAAAATTTGCTGGCTTTTCGCGAGTTTTGCACAAAGTTTAGGAGTTATATTTTTATGTTTTTTGTTGTAGAATAATGTTATACGAAATTAGCGGAAAAATATTAGAATTAAAATCGTTGCATATACATATTGTGAAAAACTTGCTGTGCCAATACTTTGCTCCGGCAGTGTACAATAATAATAACAAAAATAGCGAGATGCATACAAACAAACATATCTACATAACCGCCGCAAAACTTAAAAAGCGCCAACAAATAGTTTTATGTAGGTAATTATATTTAAGTGTGTAGTTATGTATCGGCGGTTGTTAAAAACGCGGCGATTGAGCGGGGAACACTCATTAATCGCCCGCCAGACAAGGGCACCGCTCAAAAGCAAAGGTTTGCGAAAAAAAGCAACACAAAAATATAAAATAAACTTTACATGCCCCTCGAGCTGCTTTGTGTAGAAATAATAAAACACACTCGCCGCCTCGCGTGCTTCTGATGAAAAATTACCGGCTATTTGTTGTCAGAGAACGCCGCGGACAAACAACGCCACCCAGGCACCACCAGCTACATATGTACCTACGTTTTCAACGGCGAGTTGAGAGGAGCACCAATTTAATAAAATTATAGTTTAAAAAACTTAAACCTCCCTATTATAATTGCTATTCGTACTGTCATATGTATGTAACGCATCAATATTACATAGTTCCCGAGTTAATAAATGGAAGGTAAAAACACTAAAACAACACAGCGGCTTGAATGGAATGAGTGTTTTATGTTAATTGTAGGCACTGGAAAAATTTTGATGAAACACTAAGGTAACAAAAATAGGCTTCAGAAATACATAGTAGGAAGTGGACTGCCAAAACGGCCACCCATGAATGTTTTAGTAGCCTTAAAAAAAAGACTGCTTACAAAACGACCCAACATCAAAAACAAAAAAGTTTTTTTTGTTTTCTAGTAGCGGTCGCCCATCGAAGGCAATAGTAATAGGGATGTAAAAAACATCGACATATAGAGCAATATGTCAATGAATCTAATGTTAAGTCAAAACAGCTATATTTTGGAAAGCATCGAAGATGTTTCTTTAAATTCCAATTAATAAATGTACATATATAAATAAGAAATAGTTTAATTGTTTTAAAAGTAGTGAAATTGCAAAATTGCTTAACGTCATCACCGAATTTGCCAAATGACTTCATATGGACTCGCCGACGAGCTCGTCATCGGATGAATAGCCAGCGGGTCACAAAAACAACTCGTGCACTGAGGGGGAAAACTAAGTTGATTTTACTATAAACGTCAACGTAAATATTTAATTCAACTCCGCCAATATTAAAATAAAGCATTCGTTTTGAAAAAGCATCCATGAAGTCAAGATAAAAAAAATAAAAAAATTATTTAATTTGCATGTTGCTTGCAATGGAATTCGAAACCTAACCCCCTGGAAATCAACCAGTTGTGGCAAGCGTCTTTGCGCACTCAGCTACAGCCATATATGTAAATGTTCTTTTAAATATATAGTTTGAAGCACGTGATTAATGCATTTGTACCAAGACATTCAATCCCGGACCATTTTGTAAATCCCGGGATTTCGGGATCTTAAATTGGTAAGCCCGGGATGACGGGATATTTTGGGATATTATTAATAATACTAATAGATTGGCGCTTACACATATGTTAGTGTTTGGCCGAGCTTCTCCTCCGGTTTGTGGCGTGCGCCTTGATGTTATCACACAAATCGGAGGGACCTACAGTTTTACGCCGACTCCGAACGGCGATTGTCTTTTTATGAGAAGCTGTTTTTCATGGCAGAAATACACTCGGAGGTTTGCCATTGCCTGCCGAGGGACGACCGCTGTTAAGAAAAAACCTTTTTTCTATATTTTTGCGATGTTGCTTTGACCAGGGTTTGAACCCAGGCATTGNATTTCGGAGTGGAAGCGCGCACTGCTTACCACTACACCACAGCGGCTGTTTGGGATAGTTTTGTAGTCTTGCTTTAGTGCGATTACTATAAATAAAAACAAATTTTTGTTTTTATGAAAAGAAATAAAAAGTCTCTATTTTATATCAGTTTAAAAAGATAATTACAAACTGAATAAACTGAAAACCAGGGTTCGAAAATAATAGTTATTTTCAAAATTTCAAATCAAAAAGCCAGTCGGAAAGAATTGGTATTTTTAACATTTGTATATAGCAATGTGATGCTTGTTAGCCAAGGAATGTTAATCCTGTATGGTTTAATTTTTTTTTTACCTTTTCAAAAAAGTCAGTAATTATATATATTAATTTTTTTTAATCTTCCAGAAATCCATAACCTCCGTATCAACATCAATGGGCTTCTCCTTATAGGTGCCTATTTCCATTAATGCTTTTCGGACGTAATCTTCAGAAAAAATAAAAGTCAATTTTGGCTTTTATATTTGACTGATAAAGTGAAAGTAAAATTTTAACTTTTATTTTTGACCGAAAAAAATAAAAGTCGTATTTTAACTCTTATAATTGACCGAAAAAATAAAAGTCATATCTTAACTTATATTTTTGACCGAAAAGATTAAAGCCAATTTGTAACTTTTATTTTTGACTGGAAACATATCGGTGAAAAAAAAAACGATTATTTTTTTACTTTTTGGAAAAATATCATAAACGTTACGGTCCCTGCTAAAAACTATGGAATTGAAATTCATTCATATTGCAGCCGCAGTCATTTTTACATAGAGTAAAAAATAAGAGATCATACATAAACATATAAGTATAGTAAGATTAGTATGCCACAACATATACATAAAAAAAAATTATGTCATGTCTCCGATTCGCTTCAAATTTTTGAATGGGTTCTATACATGAAATAAGCTAACACATATTCCATGATTTTTTTTTTTCTCTTCGGAGATGTCAAAGCTCGAATTTTTTCGTGACACTGAACATTCATGTACTTCTTCAAACCATTATATCTCGGGCCCTACTCATTTTAGAAACCATCTTAACGTTGTTTTGAAGATTAAGAACCGGGCTTTCTATATGATATATAACTAAAGTTAACTTAGTTATTAATAGTTGAACTTTTTTACGTTGATTTGCATAATGAAGACTAGTAAATTTGGGATTTAAAATTACACCATCGTAATCCTCGTTTAATTCTCTATAAACACCATGTTCCAAAAAATGGAAGTTTTTCAAGAACTACTTTTGAAATATTTTTTTTTTAAGACGTGGTGATTTATTTTGTGAGAGTCAATAATGAAGTCCGAAGAAAAAAGGAAAAATGTGAAGCCAATCGAAATTGTGGCACCAAATTTGGTGTCCGATATGAAAAAAATGCCTCATATATATGTTATTTATATTATAAGATAGAATAATAGTGGTGTTAGAGTTAGAGTTAGAGAGTATTTGTAGGGTTGCATTTTATAATTCTGTTATGCAATTACAGTGTCTGAATTTCGTTCTATTTTAATTTGGTGATAAATTAAATTATATTCCATGATCCCGAGCGCTTGATCCCGGAATTTCGGGACTCAAGAAGGCAGCGGGACTCCCGGAGTTCGGGATCCCGAATCCCGGTACTAGATGCCTTAATTTGTATAGATAAACATGGCCTTACTCATAATCGCACTTTAGAACCAATTTTCTTATTATTTAATTTTTCATTGAATACTTTTTTATTTCGCACGTTAATCGCTACTGGAATTAAATCCAGTCGTTTATTTTATGTTTTTGTTTACTCACCCACTTGACGAAGTGCAAACAAGCGTGATAAGACCCAACAAAAGGTGTGCAGATTTTGCGGCAACGATAAGATTCGCTAAATTGTTCCCTCTTTTGCGGCTTTCGTTTAAATTAGCAGCAATGCAACACGAAACGAATTCCTACCTTAGATGTACTCATATGAACGCGTGTATGTGTGTCGTCTGTTATTCTTGTTATTCAAATTTTGAAAAAGTAGTAACATTTTTTTCATGTCATAAATTAGTTTTGCGATCATAAATTAACAAAGTGGTTTAACAACAAGCGTGCGTAATCATCAATGTAGGTTTGAATGTACGCAGGTATTTACATATACTCCTTTATTTATACGTGTGTTTATAATGAATTTGGTACGACATTTATAGGGCGACATTATGCATTACTAAAAGCAAATATCAACTTATATGATTAATAGGGCAAACAGCGAGTTCAATTTACTAGAGTGCGAATGCAAATGCATTGCGCCGGCACCACGTGGAATTGACAATAAAAACAAGTAATTTTTAGCAAAAAAAACCGACTTCAACTCCCATATAAAAAATATATATATATCTCATGATCCACTGATCGGATCTCAACCAGATTAGTATGGGACCACCTCTGAGACAGTACCTTTCCGATGTAAAAAGAATTATCGAAATCGGTTGACGTGGTCCAAAGTTATGCGGTAACATACATAAAAAAAAAAAAAAAAATCCGACGAACTGATAACCTCCTCCTTTTTTGGAAGTCGGTTAATAAAAAATGCATGCCAGTTATGTGGCACGATATGCCAGCAAAGCCATGACTTTTTTGCATATCCATTTTTCTATGCAAATATGTTTGTGTGTCTGTAAGCATGGGATCATTTTATTGTCATTTAGTTATGCTGTTATTTTTATAATTGTTGTTGTGCTATGCGGTATTATTGTGGTGTTTGAAGTCGCGCCACGTAAAATGCAATTCGATTTGAATAGAAAATGAAAAGATAAAAGCCACTCGCCGGCACAACACGACGCCACCACCGTCAACAATGCTACGAACGAGTGCCAATTTAATGGCAAACGTGCATACATACATATGTATGTACATTAGGGTGCCTCACTAAAAAAATTAATGTGGGTTTTCCGCCGGAATTAACAAATGTATTATTTTTTAAGACTACCGCCAAGATATTTCGGAAGAAATATTCGATAACACTAACGTGGGCTGTACCGATTTGAAAACACCTACAAAAATAAAATTTTATTATAAATAAAATTAGTTTTTTTTTAATATTTAAAACAAAAGTTAAAAAAGTATTTTTCAAAAAAGTTTAAAAAATGGTTAAAACAAATGTCTGAGCTAAATTAAAGGTTAAGAAATATGTGTATAGTAAAATTTCATGTGAATTATTTTAAAAATTTTTTGTTGAAAATTTTTTCTGTATTTGTTAAATTCAGATTTTGAAATTATTCCTTATTGACATAGATTTTTTTTATTAGTAGATACTTTTACGTTGGTCGCATAAAGATTTTGCCTGAGAAGACCCCTAGTAAAATTTTCCGAAGAATAATTCTTTAGAATCATCCCACGACCTTACAAATTGGCTCTTTGAGCAGACTCTTGCAGTAATGGTAAAAGTAACCTTTTACGCGGGAGCTAATGGGTTAAAATGTTCTACGAAATTATTTCCCATGAAATTTTAGTGCATACGTCTTGACCTTTAATTTAGCTCAGACATTTATTTCAACCATTTATTTCCCTTTTTTGCAAACTTCTTAGGTCGGCACATGAAAACATTAGTAGGCCATAAAAAATATACGGGCTAACTTCTACAAATCCATCGAGTATTTTATTACTGGATATGTATACTTTCCGAAAATATTAGCAGAGTCCGGGATGGTTTCGCTATGTCACAGAGATACCGTTTTTTATGGATCCTAATGAGCATACCTCATACATGCAGTGTTGCAATTTTGGTACTTTTGGGGCTATATTTAGCTCTTTTTATTTTAAATTGCCTCAGAAATTTGCTTTTAACCCCCAGCTCTATTTTAGCCCTTTTAAATTTGAAACAGCCTATCGAAGCTCCGAAAATCTTAGCTTAATTTTAAACACTAAATTTAAATATTTCTGCTGTTTGCTTGGAAAAACACATTTTCAATTGAAAGAGTGATTGTAGCAAAAATTTAAATTGGCTGCTTGTATTAAATCTGTCAAAGTTAAAAATATCCTTATCGTTCAAATTTATACGCATGGAACTCAAAATTACTATTCTGATTGGCACAAAAAATATTTCAATGCAATGAAGCAAAATATATCTCTCGAAATATTTCCAAAGAAGATTAATTGTATTCGCTTTTCTAGAGTTTTTTGGCAATAATGAAACTCGCTCTTTTCTTATCTCAAAATTTTTTTATTTAGCCCTTTCCATCCCCTTTTTCTGGAGATGCTGGCCCTAAATATTTAGATATTTATTTCTGGCAACACTGATGAGGTGGGATTGTAGCTCGCTCCCAAGCCACATTATACCGGCTGGGTGGCTTACAGTGTTGTGCGAAATTAATTGCATACTAAAATACGTTGCAGTGACGTATGCATGAATCACGCCGTTGGCATTTTTGTGTAAGAAAAAAAAAAACTAAAAAGCCGAATGACACTCCAGCAAGGGTTGGGGATGTCTCACTACTTTATGAAGTAATATAAAACAGCAGGCTATGATCGTAAATATGTTCTACACTTTTAAAC